TCGGCGTGTGTGAGGGGCTTTTCCGTTCGAGCCGTCATCTCCGTCATTATTTGTACTCGTCGTCTCTGTCCTTCCCTTTCCCTGGGAGACCTCTTCCCCTGGGCTCCAGCCAAGCCGACCTTGAGCAACCTCGTCATTGAGTCGAAGGGAAGCCCCTTCCCTTTGATCCCTCCCCCGCTGGGAGGGGGGGGGGGGTAGCGACCCCCCCCCCGGGTCAGATACGACGCCCCCCCCCTGGGACTCCTCTTCCCCTGGGTCTCCAGCCAAGCCGACCTTGAGCAACCTCGTAATTGAGTCGAAGGGAAGCCCCTTCCCTTTGATCCCTCCCCCGCCGGGAGGGGGGGGGGGTAGCGACCCCCCCCCCCGGTCAGATACGACGCCCCCCCCTGGGACTCCTCTTCCCCTGGGCTCCAGCCAGGCCGACCTTGAGCAACCTCGTAATTGAGTCGAAGGGAAGCCCCTTCCCTTTGATCCCTCCCCCGCCGGGAGGGGGGGGGGGTAGCGACCCCCCCCCGGGTCAGATACGACGCCCCCCCCCTGGGACTCCTCTTCCCCTGGGCTCCAGCCAAGCCGACCTTGAGCAACCTCGTAATTGAGTCGAAGGGAAGCCCCTTCCCTTTGATCCCTCCCCCGCCGGGAGGGGGGGGGGGGTAGCGACCCCCCCCCCCGGGTCAGATACGACGCCCCCCCCTGGGACTCCTCTTCCCCTGGGCTCCAGCCAAGCCGACCTTGAGCAACCTCGTAATTGACCCTAATCATGTCAGTACCCGTCGTCTCGCCCCCCCCTGGGACTCCTCTTCCCCTGGGCTCCAGCCAAGCCGACCTTGAGCAACCTCGTAATTGAGTCGAAGGGAAGCCCCTTCCCTTTCATCCCTCCCCCGCCGGGAGGGGGGGGGGGGTAGCGGGGGGGGTAGCGACCCCCCCCCCGAGTCAGATACGACGCCCCCCCCCCGTACCGACCTTGAGCAACGTCGTCATTGAGTCGAAGGGAAGCCCCTTCCCTTTCCCTTCCCCGACGGGGGGGGGAGAGGAGGTCCCGGGGGGGGTCCCGGGGGAGTCCCGGGGAAGTCCTGGGTCAGATACGACACCTCCCTCCCCCACCTTCTCGTCCTTCTCCCCGTTTCCCCAAACCATCCCACAGCCCGTGCGCAATAATTGTGGAGGGGGGAGGGGGAGAGGGAGGGAGACTTATTCGAGGGCGAGAACGACGAGGACTGCGATGGCGACAGCGACGACAACAGGGACGACGACCCACTGCTCATGTACGTGCGGCGCGAGCACGTACACTTACGCATACACAGCAGGACTCAGAGCAGTGCTCGCAAATGTGCTCCCTAATTAGCCCAGTGTAGAAGAATCAGCGGGGCTGCCTGATCAATGGCTCGTACAGGGCCACGGCAAGCACCAGTGCCCAGGTGTGTTAAACTCTTTCATTGGAGCGAGGCGAAAGGGGGACGAGGTGAGGAGGAGGAGGAGGAGGAGGAGGAGGAGGAGGAGGAGGAGGAGAAGCAAAGGACGGAGGAGGAGCAGCACCAGCACAGAGAGCGAGAAGTCAGCTCGGCGGTGTCCTTGATGCTGTTGTAGCGTGCCTGTTCGGGACGGTGCTATGGTCACCGCCCTCGCAGAACAGCGATATCGTGGAACAAAAGACCAAGAGGGTGACGTGGGGGGGGGGCATCTTCAGGAAGGCACTTGGGCAGAAGGAACAAGATAATGGTAAAAGACTCTTTCTGCGGTTGCTCTGCCACCACCCCATCCTCCACCTCCACCTCTTCCTCCTCCTCCTCCGCCTCCTCCTCCTCTTCCTCTTCCGTCCCCCCTCTTCCCCCGGAGGGCCCCAGAGGCCCAAGAGGCAAGAGGGACCATAAATAAACAAAAACATCGATCCCGACCAAAATCCCATCAAAATTGGTCCCCAGACACTTCCCTGGGTATATCCTGGCCAGCCTCTCATCCCAGGAATGGTCGACGGCCCTGGCACCCCAAAGGAGAGCCTCAGGAGACGGAAAACTGCGAGAAACCTTGCGCGCCTCATCCGCCTCCACCGTGGGACCAGACGAAAGGGGGTGGTTAGAGGTTAGAGGGGAGTGAGCGAACTGGCAAACGCAGCCGACTCCATCGGCGCCTCCCGGCGCTGGGGGCGCCAATGCGTCGATGAGAGAGCCCAGCGGCGGAGCCGAACCCAGCTGCGTGCAGCACGTGTCGCAACCTCCCCTGTCCTTATCTGGGGTGGACCTGGTCCGGATGGGGTTCGGCTGGGCACGTCCTCCTGCAGGCGGCTTTTGGAGGAAAAAACAAAAAAAAACAGTCCAAAACGATTCAAACACAGTCAAGAATAGTGGAAAAATGGTCCCCAAACTATTGTGTACTATTTTTGGATACTCCTCCTGTAGAGGGACATGCCCGACTGAAGGATAGGGCCCTGTCGAGCGTCCCCACATGTGAGGCGGGAGAACTATGGAACCGCCTGATCCAGGAGACCTCCTGTTCCAGAAGAGTACTGAACAAGACCTAAGTGGTGCAGCATATGCTCCAGCAAACCTCGAGTCGAGTGCACTCCGGGGCAACTCCGGCACGAAAACGGGAGGCCCGAATCAGGAGCTATCCCTGACCAACCCCCTGCCTTGAGAACTCGGGGCTCCGATCTCCCCCCCGTTTCCTCCGACCCAGGTGGCGCTGGCGAGAAAATAAGAAATATTCAAAAAATACCCAAAATGGTCAAAAAAATATAGCAAAATCGTCCCTTGACTATTTTTAATTATTCTTGACTAGTCCTCCTGTAGAGGGAGGGACGTGCCCGACTTAAGGCGAGCACGCCTCGGTCTCGGCCTTGAGCTCAGCCGCCAGCCGCTGGGCGGCTTCGTCGCCCTCGCCTGGCACCGCGGCGAAGACGGCGGCGGCAGCGCCGGCGGCGACGCCGACTCCCGCGACGCTGGTGACACAGGCAACGACGGCGGCGGCGGCGACGACGACGAGGGGGGCAGGAAAGGAGTGAGGGCGGAGGCTCCCTCTGCTATCCTCCTGCTGTTCATCCTTCTCCTCCTCATCCTCCTTCGTCAGGGCCCAGGCGAAGCTCCTCCCACCGAGCTTCGACGCGAGCAGTGGCGGCCGAGTCACCTGAGTGAGAGTCCTGCTTCAGGTGGCACAGGCTCTCCTGCAGAGCCGCGAACTCCTGCAGGGGGGGAGGAGGAAGATAGAGAGGAGGAGGTCCAGATGAAAGGACGATGTCGGGGAGAGAAGGGGCTAGTACTCCTACTCATCATGATTCCCTGTGAGGGGGGCAGGAATGTAGCAAGCGCCGAAGCGAGAACGCCCTACGGAACAGCCGAATGTTTTCTGGCTGGGCAAACACAAAGACGACTCTGATGTAGTGTTTGATTGAATCCTGAGTGTGAAGACACTACGCGGGAGTGGCGGGTGGGTGAAAGCACGGTGTCGGGGAAGAGGGGGGAAGAGGACTAAACTCGTGTTACCCCCAGAACGACCACGAACCATGGCAGCAACAGAGCAGGACCCCAAAATGTACAGAACTGCGGAGTTGCAAGCTGGGCGCACCCGCGCCGCTCCTGCCATTCTCCCCAATCCCTCCAGTCCCGCCCCACCAGGCTCAACAATTTGATGCTCGCCGAGTCGGATGCCGAATCTGGCCCTGGTCCCCGGAATGACTCCTGCTGCGCTCGACCCTGAGGGGAACTGCGAGGGGGGGGACTACCCATCGGTCGGAAGACGTGGGTAGAGACATGAGGTGGGAAGGCGTTGGAAGGAGATTAGGCTTCCGCCCGCCACCTGAAGAGGAGGGAACAGGGACAACCATCTCGACTCTCGAAATAGGAAGGCGCCGATTGGGATCTAAAAATACCTCATTTCGACGACCGATCGGTAAATCAGGGCGGCAAACATCGAGCGCTGGAGTCGGCAACGCATCGCCGAGAGACCAGCGATGGGCCCCCGACGGCGAGCCAGCACGATCTCCTGGGCGGGGCCACCTATCGGCGATGGATGGGCGAGCGGGAGTCGATGGCGATCCCCTCCGGAGCCTCTGTTCCCTCCCGAGAGTTGCCCCTGAGATCCGCCCGCACGGTCAGGAACCGCTTCTCAGCCTGTCGCGGCGGCGGCCCCGGCGGCACCCGCTCCGCGGGGCGGGGGGATGGGGAAAATCTCGGGGCTTCCACGCCTGGGGACCGCGACCCGCGGCCTGGACAGCGCATCGCGCCGAAGTGTGGTGGCCCAGAGCCGGCAGGGCCACGCGAGGAGCCGGAGCTCCCGCCCGCCCGCTCCTCCCCCTCCTCCTCCTGCTCCTCCTCCTCCTCCTCCTCCTCCTCCTCCTCCTCTTCTTCTTCCTACTCCTCCTCCTCCTCCTCCTCCACCTCCTCCTCCTCCTGCTCCTCCTCTGCTTCTTCCTCCTCCTCCACCTCCTCCTCCTCCTCCTCCTCCTGCTCCTCCTCCTCCTCCACCTCCTCCTCCTCCTCCTCCTCCTCCTCCCCATCAGAAATGCCCCTGAGACCCGCCGTCTTCCGAGCAGACGGCGAGGGGGCCCGACGGGGCCCGGGAGGCGCGCAGAGCGCGCCTTCTGCGCGGAGATGGGCGGCGCGCAGCGTCGCACGGCGCGGTGCGCGAGGCAGGCAGGCGGGCAGGACTTTTGTATGACTCAGCCTAGCATGACAACAACTGTATGCCGCCATTGCGCTAAAGGAAGCGTGGAGGGGTGCCAAGCACCTCTGGCTACCAGGGCAGGGTTGCGCGTATGCGTCCTCGCATGCAGAGGCCAATATGGAAGATCCTCCAGCATGCGGTGGCCGCCGCAAGAAGGGGAAGCGGGAGGGAGCGGGAGGGGGGACAAGACGAGACGAGACTCGGCAGCGCGCGCCCGGGCGCGGCTCTGTTGTGAGCGCAGCGCGGGGGGGGGGGCGGGGCCCCACCGATGTCGATGAGAAGCACACGCTATCTTCCAAAGACCGAACGAAACTGTCTCGGAAGAGGAAAGGTAACTGGAGAGGGAAGGGGGGGGGCGCGAGGTAGGATGGGGCTGGGATGGGCAGGAACGCGCAACCGAGCGGCAGCAGAAGTCGCGAGGTACCCGGCGAAAGAGTTGCGAGGGGGTGGAACACATGGACCTCGTCGCCTGGCCACTCGCGGCCACAGACCCACGGTGGTATCACGACTGGTTGTTTTGGGACAACGAAAGGCCCCTCTGCGCCGCCACAGGCGCCAATACTGCGAGCCCCGCCGCGCCGACCCTGACACTGCGGGCCAGCCAAGCGGCCACGGGAAAGCCAAGTGCCGCACCTGTTGTACGAACAGCGTGGTGCCCAGGTGCGCTCACGACATATCGGACAGCCTGCCGTCCCACCCGCCCTTTCCCGTTGAGCTGAATCCCACCGGCCCTTCGGGCGTAGGTGGTCTAACAGGCTCCTTCATTTCCTCCTCCAGAACTCTCTTCCTTTTCGGGGAGGGGTTCCCTTCACCTCCCCCTCCCCATCCTGTTTTTTTTTGGGGGGGGCGCGATGCGTCGAGGGTCCTTTTTCGCCCAAGATGGCTCCAAGAGGGCTTCCGACGCTCCAAGAGGGCCTCCAAGACGGCTCCAGATCACCGCAGATGGTTCAAGGTAGCTTCCGACACACCTCCGAGGGGCCCGACCAGGGCCACAAGACGATTCCAAGTGCTCTCGGAGCCCCCATCAGGACCCCATCCAAGAGGCCAACATCCTTCCAAAAACCTTGGGCAAATGCATGGTCGATGCCTTCTCGCCGTTTCCCTTCTGGTGCACTCTTGAGGCCTCAAGATTGCCCCAAGATGGCCCACGAGAGCCCCACGAGGGGTCCAACGGGCCCCCAAGACGGCCCCGAGAGCGCACAAGAAGATCTGCCCGAGAGCGCCACGAGAGCTAACAAAGAGGCGATGGTGATGGCCCCAGGGGGGGACGGGACAGAACCCCCCCTCCTTTGATCAATGGCCTCCAGCATGGCCTCAAAAAACCTTCCAGGGCTCCCAACAAGGCCCCAAGAGGACCCCAAGAGCGCCAAAGAGCGCCCCGAGAGCGTCCCACGAGGGCCCCAAGAGGCGGTTTGCCTCCTCCTCCTCCTCCTCCTCCTCCTCCTCCTCCTCCTCCTCCTCCTCCTCCTCCTCCTCCTCCTCCTCCTCCTGCTCCTCCTCCCGCTGCTCCTTCTCCCGTCGCGCCCTTCTCAACGGACCAGCCGAGCGCTGTTTCACTATATGTGTCCCTTCGTTCCTATTCTCGTCAGCTCTCATGCGCACGGTTTCTGAACGGGCGGGTCGGGATACGCGAAGCGTGAAGAATGATGTTCAGTCCGCCAGCTGGGGTCATAGATGCATGTGATCCTCGAAATGACCTCATCGTGTGACGCCCAATCAGAAGTTGAAGGAGGAGGTGGATGAGCAGGAAGATGAGCAGCAGTATGGGCAGGAGGAGGAGGTGGCAGAAGAGCAAGGGTATGGGCGGAAACAAAGCAGGATGATGAGGAAGGAGGTGGGCAGCAGCGGCAGCAGCAAGAGCAAGAATACATGGAAGACGCAGGCGGACCCGGGGAAGGCGGAGGAGGTGAACGTATGGGTACGGCAAGGACGAGGAACGACGAGGAGCGGCAACTTCTTCCTCCCCCTCCTCCTCCTCCTCCTCCTTCTCCTCCGTAACCTCCCTCATCCTGCTACGCTTGCTACTCCTGCCCCCCCCCTCCACCTCGCCCATCCCTCCCCGACGCTCCTTCCCTCACTCCCCCTCCCACCTCACTCCCCCGCTCCGCATCCGTCCCACCCACCCACCCACCCAACCACCCATCCACCCACCCACCCGCCCACCCATTCACCTCCTCCATGCATTTTCCTTTCAAATAAAAAGTGGCACGCGTGCCCTGGCTCTTGCACAAAGGAGCTGCGAAGGACTGGAGGCCTGGCCCAGGGGGGCTGCCCTGGGAAGCCTGGACGGAAGGGGGGGTCCCAAGGGCGGGTGGCCCAGGGGAGCTGGGGCTCAGGCTCAGGGGAGGGGCCGAGGGGGACGAACCACCACGAACCACGAACCACTACGAAAATAAGGATGTCCGCGGCCCAGGAGGGCTGTCCTGGGAAACCTGGACGGAGCACGCCTCTGAAGGGTGGGTGGCCCAGGGGACCTGAGGCTCAGGCTCAGGGGAGGGGCCGAGGGGGACGAACCACCACGAACCACGAACCACGACGAAAAAAAAATATGTCCGGCCCAGGGGGGCTGCCCTGGGAAATCTGGACGGAGGGGGAGGTCCCAAGGGGGGGTGGCCCAGGGGAGCTGGGGCGGAGCCGAGGGGGACGAACCACCACGAACCACGAACCACTACGAAAATAAGGATGTCCGCGGCCCAGGGGGGCTGTCCTGGGAAGCCTGGACGGAGCAAGCCTCCGAAGGGTGGGTGGCCCAGGGGACCTGGGGCTCAGGCTCAGGGGAGGGGCCGAGGGGGACGAACCACCACGAATCACCAACCACGACGAAAATAAAGACGCCCGAGCTCTAGAGCACAGCTGTGCAAGAGATAAAAGGTTCCGCAGCCCAGGGGGGCTGCCATGGGAAGCCTGGACGGAAGGGGGGTCCGAAGGGTGGGTGGCCCAGGGGAGCTGAGGCTCAGGCTCAGGGGGGGGGGCCGAGGGGGACGAACCACCACGAGCCACGAAGAAAATAAAGGGTTCCGCGGCCCAGGGGGGCTGCCCTGGGAAGCCTGGACGGAGGGGGGGTCCCAAGGGCGGGTGGCCCAGGGGAGCTGGGAAGCCTGGACGGAGGAAGGCTTCCAAGGGTGGGTGGCTCAGGGGAGCTGGGGCTCAGGCTCAGGGAGGAGGCCGAGGGGGACGAACCACCACCACGAGCCACGACGAAAATAAAGGGTTCCGCGGCCCAAGGGGGCTGCCCTGGAAAGCCTGGACGGAGGGGGGGTCCCAAGGGTGGGTGGCCCAGGGGAGCTCGGGCTCAGGCTCAGGGGCGGGGCCGAGGGGGACGAACCACCACGAACCACGACGAAAATAAAGGGTTCCGCGCCCCAGGGGGGCTGCCCTGGGAAGCCTGGACGGAGGGGGGGTCCCAAGGCCACCACGAGCCACGACGACAATAAAGGGTACCGCGGCCCAGGTTGGCTGCCCTGGGAAGCCTGGACGGAGGGAGGGTCCCAAGGGGGGTGGCCCAGGGGAGCTGATGCTCAGGCTCAGGGGGGTCGTTTTCAGAATGTGGCTCTCGCCTTGGCGCCGCGTACATTCGCTTGAAAGTTTGCAAAAGCTTCACAGATTGAATACGGGTCGTTTTCAATATGTGGCTCTCACGTTAGCGTCGCGCACATTCGAATTCAAGGGATTCACGAGTTTCACTGATCGAGGGCGGCTCCTTTTCAAAGTGTGGCTCTCGCCAAAGCGCCGCGCATATTCGTTCAATAAAATGCAAGATTGTTACTGGCTCCCGTGGCTAACATACCAGAAATTGTGTTTGGGCGCTCTGGCACGGTTCAGGCTCGTCTAGACGTGACAGACATGTTGACTCGTGTCGTTGAAGTCTTGAGAATGGTGTTCTGGCACGCGTCAAGATTTTCGCACGGCTGTCCCTCAATAACGGGGCACTGCCCTCTGTGGAAATGAACCCTTGTAAGGGCATGTAAGGGAGATTGGAGGAAAGGTACACTCCAACATCGAAGATGGGCCTTGGGTTTACACTGGTCATCCTCCTCCTCCTCCACCAACTCCTCGTCCTCCTCCTGCTTCTCCTCCTGTTCCTCCTCCTTCTCCTCCTCCTACTCCTCCTCCCGTGCTTGCTGAAGCCTTCCAGAAACGTTCCTCTTCCTCCTCCTCCTCCTCCTCCTCCTCCTCCTCCTCCTCCTCCTCCTCCTCTTCCTCCTCTTCCTCCTCCTTCCCCCCCGCCCTTCCACTCTCCTCCCGGCCATCCCTCCTGCCCCTCCCGTCCACCGCCGCCGCCGCCCCCCCCCAGGAGCCCCGTCTCCTTCTGCAACTCGACGATCGCCTCGGACCGCGCCTGAGTCCAAGCGCGCAACGGCGCGGCGCGGCGCGGCGGCGGGCGCGGGCGCCATCGGCCCCTTTCTCCGGCGGCTCTCGGGCAGGAGCCCCGCCATCCGCTCAACCACGACGACGACGACGACGACGACGACGACGACGACGACGACGACGACGACGACGACGACAACGGCGACGGCGACGGCGACGGCGACGGCGACGGCGACGGCGACGGCGACGGCGACGGCGACGGCGACGGCGACGACGACGACGACGGCGACGGCGACGGCGACGGCGGCGGCGACAGCGACAGCGACGGCGACGGCGACAGCGACGGCGACTGCGACGGCCCCCAGCCAGCCCAGCCAGGGTGAGCCCTACAGATCTGCATGAAGGCTCTCCTTGTCTTGGCCAGCGCACCCCCCCCCCGCACCCGCGTGCACCCGCTGCAACGAAAGGCCTCCAAAGCGGGGTCTGACTAGATGGGGTCGAAGGGTCACGCCGCATCGGCGACGTCGGCGTGAAGAAAATCGGGCTCCACATCGAGCCGCAGCGCCGTTGCACCAGCGATGCGGCCTGGACCTCCAGCTCTATCTACTCGGACCAAATCTTGGAGGCCTGGAACTGCAGAGGGGCGCCGCTGCGTGCAGAGGGACAACGCTCTCTCTGCGGTCGGAAACTTGAGGATAGCGTGTCGCCACGGCGGCCCCAGCGACACGCTATCTCCTGCGAGCGGATAGCATATCATGTCGCTCCGCCCCGCGGGGCGGACGGCTCGGGACGTTGACGCTGGGGGACTGGGAGGTGGATAGCGTGTCGCGCCGAGGAGTGGTGGGCCAGAACCAGCGGAGCGACACGCTATCCCAAAGCTCCCGACCGTCCCTGAGAGCCGACGCTGAAAAATGCAACATCGCCAAAAACCACCACTGGACCCCCAAACCTAATCTTTCTGCGGCATTTTGCGAGCTGGATCGATCCGTGAGGGTCCAGGGGCCCGAAACGGGGCGAGAACGCCCGATGTGACAAGATTGCAGCCCGAGGGTATCAGAGGTGTCCTCTCGTGCCTTGGCCCCGAAAAAGGCCAGAGTTGGAGAAAGGCCTCGGAGACCACCGGGCTCAGGAGCGCGAGAGGCGGATCACGGAAAGGCCGCTTGACCAGGGGCGGGAAGTGGAGAGACAAAGGGGATGGGTGAGACGGGCAAGGAGGAAGAGGGGGAGGCCTTCCCCCTCCTAACCATCATCCTAACCACCATCGCAACCATCGACATCATCATAATCATCATCAGCAGCAGCGTCATCATCATCATCATCATCATCATCATCATCATCATCATCAGCATCAGCATCAGCATCAGCATCATCATCATCATCATCATCATCATCATCATCATCATCATCATCATCATCATCATCATCTTCATCATCATCATCATCAGCATCAGCATCATCATCATCAGCAGCATCAGCATCAGCATCAGCATCAGCATCAGCATCAGCAGCATCATCAGCATCATCATCATCATCATCATCAGCATCATCATCATCATTGTCAGCATCAGTATCAGTATCATCATCATCATCATCATCATCATCATCAGCATCATCATCATCGTGAGCATCACCATCATAATCAGCAGCATCATCATCACCAGCAGCAGCATCATCAACAGCATCATCATCATTATCAGATGCATCTCCATCATCATCATCATCATCATCATCACCATCATCACCATCATCATCATCATCATCATCATCATCATCACCTTCATCATCATCATCATCAACATCATCATCAACGGCATCATCATCTACATCGTAATATGCATCATCATCGACAATATCATCATCACCATCATCACCACCATCACCGTCACCGTCACCATCATCATCATCATCATCATCATCATCAGCATCATCATCATCACCACCATCATCATCATCATCATCATCATCATCATCTTCATCATCATCATCATCATCATCATCATCATCATTATCATCATCATCATCATCATCATCTTGCCATCGCCATCGCCATCGTAAGCGTTAGTGGCATCATCCTCAACACCCTCGCCATCAGTAAAAGTATCATCCTCATCGTCATTCACCTTCATAATAATCATCATCCGCATAATCGTCATCCTCGTCGTCATTGTCATTGTCGTCATCAGCATCATCATCACTATCATCATCATCATCATCGTCGTCGTCATCCTCAGCATCGTCATCACCATCATCATCATCAACATCATCAACATCATCAGCATCAATAGCATCATCATCATCAACATCGCCGTCACCATCCTCTCATCATCAGCAGTCACATCAGTAGCATCATCATCATCATCATCATCATCATCATCATCATCATCATCACCATCGTCATCATAATCAGTATCAGTATCATCATCAGCAGCATCAGCATCATGATCAGCAGCATCAGGATCATGACGATCATCATCATCAGCATTACCATGATCGTAATCATAATCATCATCAGTATAAGCCTCATCGGACTCTTCGTCAGCAGCATCGTCCTCATGATCGTCATCATTAGCCGAACCGCCACCATCAACAATACCATCATCCTCATCAGCCTCATCAGCCTCATCATCATCATCATCATCATCATCATCTTCATCATCATAATCCTCATCGTCATCATCATCATCATATTCATCAGCATCGTCGTCATCATCATCCTCATCGCCAGCATCATCATCATAGTCATCATGCTCATACTCACCGGCATCGTCATCGTCTTCATCGTCATCGAATCCCTCCCCACGTCCTTACCTCCATCCCCACCTCCTTCCCCTCTCTCTGTCTCTTTCTCTCTCTCTCTCTCTTTCTCTCTCTCTCTCTCTCTCTCTCTCTCTCTCTCTCCCTCTACAATTACACAACAGTAATACTATTACACAGTATGAATACTTCTCTCCTCTCCCCCGAATATCTGCTGAGACTGCTCGCCCCCCCTCCGCATATTGTTTCTTACACACATTATGTGACCAAGTTGGTAGTTCTCACGTGTTTTCCTATCCGAACATTCCCGCTTCTTCCAAAGCCGTGTTCCCGCTGCAGCGTGGGACTCATTTTAGGATCACGGCTATGTTCCCATCGTTCAGAGTGGCGCTCTCGCCTCAACGTGGGCCACTTTTCTGGATCTCTTTTCCCCTCCTCCGCCTACCCCTGGTCCTCCTGCTCCTCTCGCTCCTTCCACTCCAGTTCCTGCTGCTGTTCGTCCTCCACCTCCTCCTTCCTGATGCTCCTCCTTTTCCTCCTGCTCATCCTCCTTCTCACCCGCCACCTCCTCATCCTCTTTTGATAAGCAGCTCCCCGTTTCCGATGGCGACGCACAGACGGATGCGGTCTTTGGGGGAGTTCCAGGTCCGCCATGACACGTGTGCGCGGACAGAGAAAATCAGCGCAGTGGGAACAGATGGGGAGCAGGGGTGGGATGTCGGATGAGGCGCGAGCGCGACTAGCTTGCCCCTCCCCTCTCCTCTCCCTCCCCCCTCGGGCGCCCACTCCCGCGCTCAGCCCTCCTCGGGGCCGACGCCGACGACGACGACGACGACGACGACGACGCTGCTGCCGCCGACAATGGCGACGGAACGACGTCGACGACGACGACGACGACGTCGACGACGCCGACGACGACGACGAAGGCGACGGCGACGGCGAAGGCCGAGGCGAAGGCGACGGCGACGGCGACCAGCAGGAGGCATGGCCTGCTGCTCTGTGGCCACGAGCTCGCGTGCGAGCTCACCGGCGCCTTCTTCGGGAGAGGCGCGCGGGCGGGGGGGCCCATCCATGTAGCCTCGCCGTTTTGGAGCGTCAGGCCAAAGAACTTGGCTTGACGAACTGTGAAGCGAGAGCCTCAAATTGACAACAAGCGGGCTTCCATCCGTGCAAGTGATGGAAACGTTACAATCGGATGCGCGCTGCGCTCAGGCGAGAGCCGCAGTTTGAAAACCACCTGCCATCCGTCCTTGTGCTCGTTGGACTTGGCTGCAAGATGAAACAGTTGAAAGAACGCGTCAAGCTAAACTCACAGCCTGACCTACGAACACGTTGGGTGGTGCAGCGGGAGAGGTCACTAATAAGGAGAAAAGATGTTGCGGGAGGAGAGGAGGGACGAGAGGGACAAGATACACATACCAACATAGATGTAGAAAGAGAGGGATACACCAACATGTGTATATATATGTGTGTATGCATATATATATATATATAACACCACTCTGTTGTATAGAAAGAGAGATGGGGGAAAGAGGAGAGAGGAGAGAGGAGGAGACGGACGGTTGGGGGAGGGGAAAGGGAACGGGAATGGAAGGAGGAGGCGGAAGAGGGCTGCAGGCACCCGCGTGCGCGACCCGCTTGGCCCCTGCCCAAGGCAAAATGTATCAATGGACGCTGCCGACTTATGCGCCCCAGACGCTTCCATTGCATGATTTGCGTGTGTCGTCGAAGCAGGACATCGTCTTGACGATGAACGTCCTGACACGCTGGTGTGGCAGATCGATAATACAGATGGAACGCTGACCCTCCGCACGTGAATCCAGTCATGCTTCGTCGCAGGACCATCATCATCACCCCCATCATCATAATGATGAGTGTCATGACACGCTGGTGTGGCACGCCGGTGTCATGGAAAGCTGGTCTTCCGCATGTGAACTCGCTCGTGCATCATCGCAGGACCATCGTCATGATGATGGGTGCCATGATGCGCTGACGTGGCACACCGATATCATGACACACTGAGCTGCCGATAGTATACATCATGGAGTCTTCTTTCAGCACCGATCCCAGGGATTGTGCAAGACCGCTCGGCTCCCTTAAGAGCCCGTTCGACAGGAAAACATAATGAGGGCGACTTCGTGGACATCTCCTTTTCGGTACCGCAGCGAGAAAACACTGCGCTTCGTGGTTCGAGCAGCACTTCGCCTGAAGGACAAGCGCCGTCTTCCCCCACCAAGCGCACAACCCTTTTGGCCTCTGCCCAGAGCAAGAGGTATCAGCGCACGCTGTGGACTTGTGAGCCCCAGACCCAACGACTGCACGTTATGCGAGTGTCGTCGTAGCAGAGACATCATCATGATTATGAATGCAATGACGCGCTGGTGTGGCATAGCGATGGGTACACATGGGCCACTGGCCGTCCACATGTGCATCCACGAATGTGTTGTCTCAAGAACATTCTCGTGATGATGGTTGTCATAACGCGCTGGTGTGGCCCACCGATGTCATGACACGCTGGTGCGCCTGGTGCGCAAAGGATGTGCGCCATGGCGTCCTAATGCAGCACCGGTCCATGGAAGGTTGGCCCTCCGCATGTGTATTGGGTCGCGCATCATCGCAGGATTTTCGTCTTGATGATTGATCTCGTGAAGCGCTGGTGTGGCACCGTTCGGCCCCTTCAGGAGGCCTCTGAGAGAAAAGCAGTTCTAGTGGACATTTCGTGGTCAGCCCGCCTTCGATGCCAACGCCAAAAGATACTGCGATTCGTGGGTCGAACGCTACTTCGACACAGCTCCGCGCCCTCATTTGCCGCACCGAACTTTTATCAACACAGGGTTTTCTGAAAATCAGCACAGAAAAATGATCGCGTCGATGCTCCGCGGAGGGAGTCACCTGTCTGGCTGCGTGGCCCATGGCTTCCAATGCTCTGCTCCAACATGCGGGCGCACATGCCTATCCCTGCCACGAAACATAATGTTGTCGTTGACTCGCATGCTGTCCCAAGCACGGCACACACACACACAAATGCATCAACGTTCGCACTTCTCTTTCTCTTTCTCTCTCTCTCTCTCTCTCTCTCTCTCTCTCTCTCTGCAAGAGCAGAACAAGTCGCGCATGTGTGCGCCCGGTGCGAAGAAGGGGAGGAGGGGGCGAAAGAGGATGAGCATGAATGGCAAGAGGAGTGGCCTCGTCATCAGCGTCACAAGGAGCACGATAAGGACAAATATTGGGACCAGATTAACGACGCCGACGGAGAAATCGTGCCTGTTGGGACTTCTGAGGAGA